TAATTTTATAATTATATTAAATATGAAATATTTTTATAAAAATCACAATAAAAAATTTTAAAATATGATTTTTGATTTTATATATAAAATTATTATAAATTTATTATAATTTTCTATAACTTTTTAAAAAATTAATTTAAAAAAAAATTACCAAACACGTTAATGGGCTTTAGGTGGCTCAAACGACAACCATTCAAGTCGTTTTATATTTTGTCCATTTTTTCAGTTTAATGCTTCTTGTGTATTACGTTCTTCCCCACTAGAGACAACTGCAAGAAACTATCCCCAAATTTGTTCGATCATCGGTTGATCCACAGAGATGCTTTTATTTGTGATGAGGCATATGCAATTCTACAAGAAGGAATTTAGAATTAGGTTTGTGAGTATTTAGGAATATGGTTTGAGATATGAAGTGTTGCTTTGATAATTACATGTATTACAACATTTCTAGAGATGGAGAGATACGTAAGACAGTACTAGGTCGATAATTACATGTATTACCTGTGAAAAGAATAGCAACTGCAATGGTTAAACTGAAATCATGCTTTAAAAATAAATCAACTTAAAGAGTAAGTATTAAGGGAAATGTTATAGGAATAATTTTTTATATCATTTTTTATATAATTTGTATATATTATTAAAATAAATAAATATATTAAATATCATGAATTTCATATGAATAAAAAAAATTAATAATTTAAATAACACATTAAATTATAATGAAATGTAATATAAAAAATTATTTCAAAATATGATAAAAAATTTATCTAAAAAAATAATTAAAAAATTATCTCAAAATCATTTCCCCATTAATAATTTGAAATCATGACAGGTAAAATAAATAAATAAATAACAGAATTTGAAACCGGTTATTGAACAGCAGATTACGCCAAAAACAATAGAGTAAACTATCTGCAAGAGCTTTCTCAAAATACCTTTTCATCAACTATGAGACAATGACAGAGAACTCAGTTCCAGGTGTAGTAACACAAACAAGCAACCCATGGAAGAACTAGGTTGGAGCAGACGCAGAGTAAGTGTAAATTTACTTGCAGAATTTGGAGTCTACTTGCAGGAGACAGTGTTGGTTTTTTGGGGGTAAGAAGAAGGGGTTGAGAGAGAACTTGGAGGAGAGTAGGAGAGACACCCGGAGTTCCCTCTTTTGGTGAGGTCAGAACCCATTTTCTTCCATAAACAACACAACATAACATAGAACATAACATAAGGCCATAAACATGGAAGGGTGCAGACATTCACCCAACCGAAGAGGAGAAACCATGCTTTCTCTTTCTCTCTCAATTTTCATTCAATTTCTTCCTTCCCTTTCATAGAGGAAGGCTACACATAAAACAATACTATTTTTTTACCTAAACTATAATTATTAACTACTTAAAACATTGACTAAAAGCCTGTTTAGTGTAGTTTGTGAGAGTTTTTGCTTTTTGAGTACTGTTATGAGTGATAAGTTTAAATTTTTATTGAAGAAAAAATTGAGTTTTTATTTTTAGAGATATAAAAAAATGAGTGAAAAGTAAGTAAAAATGGAGTTTATGAAAAGTTTGGATTTGAAACTTTTGAACTTTTACTGTTTAAGAGTTTTTTAAGATTAAAAAAATATTTAAAAATATAAATTTTTAAGAAAAAAATTTAAATTCATAAAATATAAATAGTGTCTAAAAACTGAAACTCTTAGGAGCTGATCCAAATAAACCTTAAAATAATAAAGTTTGTTGTCATTTCTTGCAGCCCATGTGAAGCTCCATGCTGTTGTCACTTTGCAGTTATGTTGCAGCATCATTTAGCATATTTCATTTGATTGCATTTTCAGTTTTCATGCCATAGCTCCAACATGGACCACCTTCTATTTCCCTTCGTTGGATGGTGAAACACATTTATCTTTAGTTGGGTTGCATTCCAGACTAGCATGTGAATTTCCAACATTTACCATCTGAATTCTGAATGGAAGATTTATTTTATATTTAGGTTGAAAAGAATTGAGAGAGAGAGAGAGAGAGGACGAAAAGAAAGAGAAATAGTATCTTTTCATTCCCCTCATCTCCTCTTTAATTTTTTTAATAACAAAATCGAAGAATTTTTTCCCCTCCTGTCTCATCCATTCCCTTCAACCCAAAAGTAGATCTAAATATAGAGTCTTTTACAGGTTTTGGACATGACAAGCAATTTATTGCTGACTATAGCAAACCCTGTGCTGCTGTTACTTTTTGGAGCCAAGGTAATGTCGTAGAGTTAATCTTGCCTAGCAACTTACCGATTAGAGAAGAAATATCCAGAATAGCAGTATAGACATTTTCTTTTATCACCACCCAATCATAAGTGACCTTGTAAAAATATATGAGAATTCATTTGGTTTTGGTGATTTGTCATTAGGAATAAAAAATGAGTTTGGTCAATCTCCTCTCTGGTCACGGTTCCACCCAATCAATCCCTTGATTTGAAGACATCATATTCACATAAACCCTTAAAAAAATGCTCTGATCAACTTCCAATAGGGCAGTCTCTTCCTCATTCAACAACATTCAGACTGTTCGTGTTGATCAAATTTTTGGGGACGTTAATGGTGCTATTCATTGTTACTCTAGATCATGGAATCACTTTGAAGGTACCTTTTCTTTCTGTAATACCAATTAATTATGACGTCTAAAACGACTGCAAATGTACAGAAAGTTGGGATATATATAAGTTAGGATTGATTTCTATATGATTCTTATATACATTATTAATTTATATAAAATTTAGAGTATTTATTTTTTTACAAGAGATGTATAACTATTTTTAAAATAAAAATAACATCTTTTTATGAACAGTTATGATAAAAATGAATAAATTTTAATTGTTCATATTGAATAAAGAAATTATTAAAATTTTATGTAAATAATGTGTTTAAGTTAATAATGAACACTAAATTGATATTTCTTCTTACTGCTATAAATGATTCAGGGCCGTTTGAGGTCTAATTTCTATTCAAACTCTTACGTGCTCCCAAATTGTATCATACAATAGCCAAACAACAATAATAGGGGATGTATAA